TCTTACCTAGCGTTCAGTGCATGTGTGAAGCCGCCATAACTTTAGTTCACAAGAGGCAGGTGGCAGTGCTTGAGGCACCTCGTGCCGTCTCGCACTTTGCACGCGCAGAGCTCCAGCGAGGTGTGGGCACATGCAGAAAGACGAAAGTTCCCTTGATGCATAGGAGCAGCAGTGGCTTAGCCAAACTGGCCTGTGAAATCAGTCTATTACAACTAAAAAAATTGAAATTATTTGTATAAGTTGGGCAATTCCTTGTTATGTATTTGCCAAATATAATTGTTAGGTGTACATCCTTTAAAGGAATGTTGAAGCGAAATTTTGATTTCGGGAAACAACGCAGAAGCGCTAGGCGGGACGCTATAAACCTGAAAGCATCACGCATAAAGCGATATTTCTAACGGATGGTTGTATTTTTGTGAAAGAAGAGCATGCTTGAACAATGGCCAAAAAGGCCCGTGGTGTCGCGATTCTGGTTTCCTCCTCTTCTCACTTTGACTCCGCGAGGACGCGAAAAGGGAAAGAAGCAAAGCCGTTTCCCCCCCTCCTCAACTATTCTGCAGGAAACACGATGTCGCGATTCTCACTCATCGCATCCGCTTTATGAGTGGTTCTTAGGGGTTGGTGGCGCCCCGTTGAACACTCCTGCTACCTTATTTTGTGAAATCTAAATTTCTGTTCCTTTCCTTTAAGACCTGTTCACATTGACACTACACCTGTGCTGCCAAGTTCTTAATCTTGGTGGAGCTTTTAAAGTACTGCATTAAGTCGGTTTGGGGATGCATCACGCTACGATTTACTACAGAGGTGCCCGAAGGTATTGGAATCACTGCATCAAAAGCTCAAAGAACAAGCTTACCTGAGTAAAAGGTAAAAAAATGACTATTTTTTTCTACCTACGGCGCCCGTCTGCTAACTGTGCACCCTTTGTCTGGCTCAATAACTGACAGATGGCGACATCAACCCTAGCGGCTTGTAGCTGCTCAGCAGCCGCCCAGTCACACAAAAATCAGACAACCATTTTGAGTCATAAATGGTGCACACTTTTTCGGTGCTATAATTGTCAGAACATTATTTTATTTTCGCCCCCAATAAATCACATTAAATGGACACAAAATAATCAAACCGATGGTTCGTTGAGTTAGTTCAGCTACATGTGGTGTGCTTTTGGCGTGACCGTGGAGCTACTGAACTGCCATAAGGCGTCGGTGCCGTTGCCGCCATCTGCCGGTTGTTGTGCTAGTCGGAGGGTGCGCATATACTAGCACACTGGTGCCATAGGTAGCCAAACCAGTTCTTTTACTTTTTACTCGGGTAAGTTCATTCTTTGAAATTTTTTCTGCGATGCTTTCACCACCTTCAGGCACCTCTCTGGTAAATCGTAGTGCGATACATTGTGAAGCCAATTTATGCGGTGATTTGAAAGGCTTCACCCAGATTCGGGGCATTACAATAGTGCAGTACTATTAGTAAGTGCTGGGAATAGTGCTGATTTTGCTCTTTGTTAATGATCTGATGCTCATACACTGCTGTATCAGTACTAAGTTAAGTTCAAGTCAGCACTGTTTTACTGTTGATTTAGCTCTGTGCCGTATATGTGAGCTATCCCTTATAGTCGTTTCTCAAAAAGTTGATAACTCTTGCATGTTTGCAGTGCACACGATTATGATAATGGGAGGGCTTTTGCTTCTTCTGCCTAGTGATTGTGCGAGAGTGAAGAAAATTATAGTTTGTAGGAGTAAATCGCTAGAAATGTATACTAATTTCAATTTCTTAAGCTTACATGCAGCAAGACAGGTATCCTACAGTTTTTGCAATAGGTCGTTTTGTTTGGTTTGACTTTTTAAAAGCTTGCAATAAGCTGTCAACTTTTCCGGCTTTGAAAATTTTTACATGCTTGATGACATTTTTGCAGGACTGCCACTCACTCTTAAAGTTACTGAGACTATGAAACGATGGAAAAGGAAACTAGCACAGAAAGGTAGATAGTTATAAACATGTTTGATGTGAACTGTTGAAAATAAGGGTGTACCTTGGTCTTTCTTTTTTTTTTTTTTAAAGGTTATTACAACAAAATTTTAGCACTAATTGTATTGTCTAAATTTTAACCATGTTCTGCCCACACCATGGAGACACCGATTTTTTTTGCTAAAAAAGACGCCGAAACATTATTTAAATAAACCAAATACTGTCACGTCACACCACATAAAAGCAGCACCGCTACACGGGAACATGGTGGCAGGCTGTGTGCGCCCGAGCCCTGTCTAACTTGGCTGAACCGGTTTTCTTTTTTCTCCCTTGCCTATTCAACTCCTGCGGAGAGCGAGCAGGGACAACTCGAACGGCCAGCTTGTAGTGCATTGACATCATCAAGTGGCGAAGCTCACAGCCACGCCAGCCCCCATATAGCCTTGACTGCAGGAGAACCAGACGTCACGAACGTGTAAGCTCATAACCACGCCAGCCCCCACGTAGCTTTGACTGAAAAAGAACCAGACGTCGCAAACATGATGCATATCGGGAGATCTTCTGAGACACTAGTTTTAGATGTTTTGTGTCTTTTTGAGCAAAAAAATTGCTGTCTCCACTGTATGGTCAAAACATGGTTGACATTTAGACAATAAAATAGGCACTACAATTTCGTTGCTATATCACTTTAAAACCATTCTGCCCTTTTACCATATTTTTAATATCAGTAGTATTGATATTGCTTTGAAGAAACTGTCTTCAATTCACTTTTTGAGAAAAGTCCACTCCCCACCTGGTTTGCAAGGTTCATACGATAACGTCGGAAACATCTGTTGTGTTGATTGTGAGTACATTTTAACTTAAATGCTTGTGCTTTTTTTGTTACAGGTCCCTTCCAGCACTACGCAGGAAAGAGAATGGCCAACAGCGGACTGATTGCGGGAAGAGTAATTGCATCTGCCGCTACTACATATAACGAGCAAGCTGCGACGTCTAAGAAGGAGCAGTCAGAGTGTTTAACATAAATAAGCTGAGGTGAAAAATCTGTGACTCTCATATTATGTTTTATCAAATTCTGTCAAGTTTGAGGTAATTTATTTCAATATATTAGGACTGATTAAGGAAGAACTTTGAACTTATGGTATTGCTCCATCAGGATGTGGCGTGCCTCATTGCCGTCTACTGGATTTTCCACATCCACTAGGTAAAGAAAGCGCATAAGATGCTGACTTTCATTGAACGTGGTTTCGCCGACTGCTACATGAAGCCACGGGTGAAGGCACTGGAATTGATCAATTTCTACAGAGCGATCGTAGCTTGTGTACCACAGTTAGCCTAGCGTACCCTTCATTGTAATAAATACCCTTGTCAGTCGGGCATTTAAATGGCTTTCGGAATGAATACCTTCAAAGAATCGGCAAATCAGTTCACAATCTCGGCTCTGCCTGTGCCCTTTGGTGTTCGCGGACATTTTTTGAGGAGTTTGCTCTGAAGGCCATTTAAATGGCCGTCTGACGGGGTATGAGCCAGTTTGCGCCCAAGGCAAAATGAGCTCTTGTTACACGACATGTGCTAAAAATATTCATAGTGCAATAAATTTATTTCGTGCATTATGCCACCTGCTTTTATGCCTTTCCTTCCACACTTCCTGGCTTTGAAGAAACTCCTAGATGGATGCGAAGGAATACTCCCGTAGGGATACGACTCCTAGGAGGATGTGAAAGAAGACTCCCGTGGGTCCACGTACTAACTCCCAAATGGATGTGAAAGAATACTCCCTTAGGTCCCGGCTGTAACTCCCAGGTGGATGTGAGAGAATAGTCCCATAAGTGCGCGTAAAAACTCCCATATGGATGTGAAAAAATAGTCCCATAAATGCACGTAAAAACTCCCATATGGATGTGAAAAAATAGTCCCTTAAATGCACGTAAAAACTCCCATATGGATGTGAAAAAATAGCCCCATAAATGCACGTAAAAACTCCCATATGGATGTGAAAAAATAGTCCCATAAATGCACGTAAAAACTCCCACATGGATGTGAAAAAATAGTCCCATAAATGCACGTAAAAACTCCCATATCGATGTGAAAAAATAGCCCCATAAGTGCACGTACGAACTCCCATATGGATGTGAAAGAATAGTCCCATAAATGCACGTAAAAACTCCCATATGGATGTGAAAGAATACTCCCGTGGATCCACGTAAGAACTCCCAGGTGGATGTAAAGGAACATTCCCGTGAGTCCACGTAAAAACTCCCATAAGGATGTGAAAGAATATTCCCTTGGATCCACATAGGAACACTCTGATGGAAGTAAATAAATACTCCCATTGATCCATGAACAGACTCCCGTACTGCTGGGAGTTCTGTACATACTCCCTTGCATCCCCCCAAAACCTCTGGCCTGCGTGGGAGTTCATTCTGAGCTCCCATCCTGCAGAGTATAAAAACCTCCCAAAAGGGAATGCGCTAGAGGACAAGCGATGTACTCCCATCTGGGTATATTTTCGTTTAGTGTGTAACGCAATCAAACGGGGCTATGTAAACTGACCTTTACATGTACTTCCGTTAAGGTAGGTCGGAAAATTTGCAACGGTCGCGCACGCATGCAACCGAACGGCCGTAACGACCAAAACACCTCAGCAAACATTGACTCATATATTGCTTCGCGATGGTACCCTTTACATCGCTAATGTATGGTGAACACTTTTCCCGGTGATTTTGTTGACATGGTCGCTTCGGTTGTATACGAATGCAACTAGCGCAGATGTGTGATCCAGCCTTTACATTATAAGTCAATGGAACATCCGTGCCTCAAGTGTCGCGTGCAAAGCTACTCCTTAGACTGGTCGCCAGATTCCATGAGGAGCACGCATGTCCCGGTAACCTGCGGCATATGCAGACGTAAGCTCCCTCAACAAAACGCAACGCAAGGAAACGATACTGTGCGAACGGGCCTTTGTACTTTCTTCCCTTTCTGCGTAAACGGCCGGCGTGCGCCTGTGAGGCGCGAACTGCACAACGTTAGAATCACTACATAGGTAACTTACCGATACCATTGAAGCCCAAGGCGTTCAGGATGCACATCACGGAGGCTGTCGTCCCTGATGGAGCGGCCTCTTTGGCGAACACCGTGATGGACGACACCGCCAAAGAAAAGGCGGCACCATTGGGGATGGCTGTCAGCAGCATGAACCACGGGTTACGAACAAACGTGCGACCAACGTACGACACCGCGTACGATGCAAATGACAGGGAACACGCCGAGAAACAACCGGTTCGTTTCAGAATCGGCTCCGAGAAAAACAGCAAGGGTAGTTCCGCCAAAGTGCCCACAAAAGTGTATAGCCCAATGATGAGCTTTGATGCTTCCATGTCTTCTAAGAACCAAATGGTGTAGGATTGCGTGATAATGAACAATGTTCCAAGAAGACACGCCCAAGGGACAAACACAGTCACATCAAGGCGACTGAAAACCGCCCTGACGTCCCTAAAGAAAGTAGTTGTTACCTTTTCCATTGTCCATCGCGGGACGCAGCAGAGGAGAAACATGTCTAGCAGCAAGAACACAGAAAATAGGATGAAACACGGAAAGTATCCGGAGCGTCCTTTCGTTAATTTGTTCGCTTCGTCAATGAAGAATCCCAGAAGGGCGCTACAGAGTCCATAGCTCACGGCGCCCCAAAGCCTCTGCTGTCCAAAAGACTTGGCGTTATCGCCCAAGAACTCACAGGTCACAGCATCTGATATAACGGTCACTGTCACAGAAAGCACTGACGCTATAACCACAAACACCACGTAAAGGTAGAACGCGAGCAACCTGGGCGAGCGTTCCTGGCATGAACAGTTCAATTCGCAACTTTCCTCGTTTTGGCCGGCCGTCCGATTCAACAGAATCTTGCAGATGTCTGTGGCATTGTTGCCGAGGTCAAATTCCATCTGGATGACAAATAAGGTGACATCTGGCAGGCTTCGCCAGCAAGAGATTTTCCACTTCAGTGACTGAACTGCGCAACTCGAAGCCTCGTTCTGAAGTGTCACTCTTCCTTCAGGGCATGACAGGTGTCCTCTCAGATCCGTATCTCCTGTCCGGATGTATTGGCTTGAAAACACAACTCCGAACGATACAAGAGTGATTGTTTGCAAAGTTAACAATACTGCTGTGACGCTTTGTGTTCGGTCGATGATGAAGCCGCAGATTGGCTTGAAGAGTGCGGTAACCAGAGGTATGAAAGTAAATATGTAGGCTATGGTGGTCTCAGCAATGCCATTTTCACGACCCACAGCTGTTGCGTAGGGTTGCACGCAAGCAATCGCTGCATTCAGAAAGAGAAACGAAGTTTTAATTTAGTGCCATTTAATTGAGCGTTAGTGTTTAGATTATGCATTAACTTTTGACTTAAGGACGCAACGACAGTGTTTTAAATCTGTATACGCGAGAAAACCAAAACAACACAAAGAAAATGAAGAAGAAAAGCACAACAGCCGAATGCATCAATATGATATATACGATACTCACCGGCAGTGTAGAAAAAGAGGTGGACTTTTATCGGCAGAAGACGCCTGCTCACTGAAGCCGGGAAGAACTTCATTATTTTTTCTTTGTACGGGACAGGATACGTTTCCCTGAGGTTCGGCCGAAAAAAATTTCAATTGAACTTATTTTCCCCCCAAAAAACAAATATAAATCGAAGTAAAAAGGCTAGGAAGGCGAGTTGGTTCATGACTTATACAATTGAAGGCGTTCGTCCTGTTTGCCTTTCTCATTGTCCTTGTCTACTGTTAGCAGCTTTGATTTAATAACTAAACGTAACAAAACTAGGGCTGGACGAAGCCCTGTACGTTCTTTTGAATTATTTTTTGATGGGGTGATCAAATGGCAAATAGTGCTCGTAGAAAAGTCAAATACAAATCGTTAGCATATTTGTCTACACTTAAAAAACACCAACTTGCCACAACAACAAGAAAAAGGCTAGTATATGTGGTTTATTTGTTTGTACTAAAGAATAACACATGCATGGTCAAGCGCGCGGTCCGTGAATAGAATAAAATGGCCAAGTTTGTTGTGTCCGCGGACAAAAAGCGATGCTTGTGGCGCTCGTGGCAGAACAGATTATGCCTATGGTCACTACTCAGGGGAAAATCAACGACAAATGAAGGTACAGGAGACTCTCGAAACAATAGAATGCCGTACACGACAACTTAAACGAAGGTATAAAAAGGAAATTGCATTTCTGTTGTCAGTTTTTAAGTTTTAGCGAGGTTGTATTTGCCCATTTTATTTCAGCCCTCAGTTTTGAGCATGCGAACATACTAAACAAACAAAGGGGAGACCTTTCAACTGGGCAGATACGAAGGCTGCCGACATTCTCCTCCGAAAAAAACATTCCTCATGATCTGTACAAAGACCGACTGGTCTTTATGGCTTATTTAAAAACCCTTTTCCCACGACCTTATTTTTTTTAAACATCGGCAACAAAAAATATTAATTTTTATTATAGTTAATTTGATACGGCGTACTATGTGGGATAGAAAAGTTTAAAACTACTGTTGACCGATTATGTTTTTATAGTGTCACACGATTCAGGGAATGTACAGGAGAGAGGCAACATTATCATTGTCGCAGTAGTGTTTTGTTCACTGTTCCAGCAGCGTTTGGGAGTTTTAGTCGATACGCTTACACGGGACCCACACCGCTTGGGATGCGCGCTTCCCTTCGAGCTTGCAAATTTTAGTGCGAGTTGCCAAGACGTTCCTATACTTCGTATAATCGTAAGTCATTGCGCAGTCCAGGACTAGGACTAGGACAAATACAGGTCGCGACCGTAAGAACTAAAACATTTGGCACGCCTTGCGAAATTCGAATTCCAAACGTAAATACCTGAAAGTGGTCACGCCAACGTAGTTTCGTCAAAAGTTTGATGTCTCTTATTTTCTACAGCCCAATTCAGAGGTAGTTAAATATTAAAAATAAAGCAGAATCGGAGGTAATGTATTTTCTGTCCTCTCCCAGCCTGTTTGTCGTCTGCACCTGACTTTAGGAGCTCGCTCCCGGGTGGTTTGCTGAATGCAAAAACCGCTTAAACCGGTAGCAGAAACTATCGATGAGCGGGAGAATCGCGATAATTAATACAATAACCGCCTGGGAGGAAGCTCGCAAACCGGTGTGCAGACCACTAACCTCTGGTACGGGCGCAGGAAATGCACGACCGCCGTTTTTGCTTTAGTAATGCGAAAGTATTACCTTTCCCATGGAGCGAAGCCGCCGTTGTCTGTAACCGTCTGTAGCAGAAAAACGGCACCTAAATTCTCATCCCCAATAAAACAAAAAGAAAAGCACAGCAGCGCAGATGCTTCGTCACGGAAGCCGTCGTGAAGCCGGCAGGGTTCGCCGCACGTGCGCAGAGGGGGAGCGTAATATGTCACCGTTAGAGCGTCACGTGGAAAAGGAAAACGTGGCGCGCTGCTTGTAGGAATGCGCTGCGTGTAGCATTCCTACACACAAGCAGTCTGACGATTATTTTTAAAATATTTGATTACCTCTGATTTGAGCTCTGATTTGAGAAACTATAGGTTCGCGTGCCCGATTTCAGGTATTTACGTTTGTTTTTCGAATTTTCCAAGGTGTGCCATAGGCAGTAGACCTTAGAGCCGCACATAGTACAAACACGACTATACACACTAAACACGCAAAGTCAGAGCGCACTCACTGCGCTCTGCGCACTCACTCGGGTCGTGGCGTCGGGTGCGCTCGGACGTAAAGTGAAGGGAAGTATGGTCACAGTACGGCTTCCCAGATAGCTGTGCTATTCCTAGCTGCGAATGTCGAGTGTTATAAAAATAAATACCCAGCACTGTTACCCTAGCCTAATCGTGGAAACTTCTCTCTGCCAGAGGCGACGGCGATGGGCGTGAGCGAAAACGGGTTTTCGTTTTGCGGTAACCCCCAGCTGTTGCAAGAACGACGACAGCCTTGACGTCACCGACTTCTTTAGGACCTTGGTGGAGTTTCACGAACATTTTTAGAGCAAGGTTTTTGTTGCACGTACTCCACTGCCTGCCGCTCTCCCACTGCGTGCCACTTGCCACTATACACCTTTCCAAAAAACACTCGACCCCAGGGGCAACAAACCGTTTTCGAGCCCACTCACTGAGTTTGAGACTAGACTCTCACCGGCGTCCCTCCTAACCCTAACCGAGTGAACTGTGATTTTAATAGACGCAGCCTGCGTAGGCGCAGTTTCAAACGCTGCTGGCGGCTAAATTCTCCTCTTTTCCCGCTATATTTTGTGTTTCATGGTACATGTATTTTCTCGAGGACATTGAGAAAGCATTGTGCCACATTTAAAAAAAAAAAAAAAAAAAACACAAAAAAAAGCTGTAAACTATTTTTGGTGGGTTCGCGCGCGACAGAACGAATGCAACTGGAATGTATAGTTCTAGTTATTTGTTTTTTTCTTACGATAAGCTTTGACGGCGCCGCGGGATTCGCCGCATGTGAAACGACAAAGCGCTTTGCTGTCAAAAATAAATTGCAACAGAAGAGGGCCGAAAGGCATGCATTTTTCACGCTCACAAATAACGTGTTTACCAATGGACAGGACACGGACATACAATTGAGGAAGTGTTAACATTCGAACAATATATCGTACATACCACACGATGCAGCGTTATCCAAAAATAATTTATTTAAGAAAGATCTAAAATAACACAGTCACAGTCGACGACAGTCACATCTTGACGATCGGACGGAATCCGAGATGACTGTTTTGGGGCACGTTTTGGAGAGAGCTTCCTTTTTTCACAACCGCACCAAGGCAAAGAAACAAACGCGACTGACCCGTTTCTCACCCTAACCCGGACAACTATTTTTGGAGATGACTGAGGATTCTACGCGGATTATCTCTGGGAGGTGTGAGAACAATGTTCGCAAAATCGCGTCGGGGGTCGTTCGACGACCTTCACCTCCTTCGTTTCCCGTGAATGTCGAGCAGAAAAGCTTGAATGGCAGGCACTTACCAGCCTTATTTCGCACAGTGGAATATAACATAAAAAGGGTACGCAGCACGCATAAAAAAAAATTAAGTGGAAACTTTCGAGAGGGGCGATAAAACGTTGAATGCAAAACCGCAAAAACGTAGGTAGAGAACCGCGCTGAGCGGGTCTTCACAGTCCCAGAGAGGGGCAGAAAATTTCTAGCTGATAGAGGGCGCGAGGGTCGCACCAGCCGCATCAGCATCAGCAACATGGCGGCGGCCTAGGAGCGTTTTTTGGAAAGGTGTATACGCGGTAGGGCGGCGGAACAGGAGCGGCGGGAAAGTAGCGGAGGGAGAAACACATTCTCGAAACCCGGACCTGTCACGATCCTTCTAGAACATGGACGAAGGGGGCCGAAGCTCTCGCCGAAAAGAGACGACACGCAGCCTGGTTGTGAGGGTGAACGATGACTGACCGGGGCGGCGTGCGCTCCACGGTGTTTATTGGCGCGGTGACCAATGTTGCCCGCCGAGCCTGGCGGCCACAGACGGGCGGAGTGGAGGGGGGCGCTACAAACTTGTCACAGGACCGCTCGTGTCCACCGAGATCGAACTAGATGCGATTACAGCGGCGCCCTTTGGCGGCGAGTAAAATCATGAAAGTTGGTTTATATAGCTAATGCCGGAGGGCGCTGCGAGCAACCCACAACTAAAGCGCTGGATATCCTGACTTATTCCAAGTACCGCCCTCATTCGATCGTGCCGCGGGCGCTCCTATTGAATGCCGGTGACGCGTCGCCATCTTTGGCTCATGGCGTAGCCCACATCCTGATGCGCACGCTCCTATTGGTCTGCTGTGGCTGCCGGCGACGGGCCGCCGTTTCCGAACAGGCTCCTATTGGTCTACTGTAGATGTCGGCGCCACGCCGCCGCGCCAAACTAGACTGGCGGCGACGCTCGGAC